GCTGGCGTTGTATAATTACTCGGATGTTCAGAATATATAATTGTAGTTGCACAAGGAACGAAACTAATCTACAAGCAGAGATCTAAATCTAAGTATCCTCGCTTAGTTACGCCATAATTATCACGTGACTACACCCCAACTAGCTGCCCCTGTGACAGTTCCGCTGCTTTGGTTTCTAAATAGAAGTGAAGTTAGATTTAATAAAAAATACGTGACCCATTATGAGATCACCTGATCACGCGTCAGAAGCGCATTGTGCGTGAGCCATGGCAAGACTGGGGGGATTTTTTGTGCAGAGGGTCGAAAATTGGTTTTTGGTCAAGAAATGTTGAAAAAGGTGGGCCTGTATGTTGAAAAATATATCAATTGAGAGCTAATGACAATGCAAAACTGGATATTGAAATTTGAAAGGCGTAACTGTTTGGATCCATAGTAGCTGTGACAGAAACTGAGTTGGTGATGAATAAGTCAATTTATTAAACTATAAGAGGAGAGAAGAGAACTCTAGCTACAATTAACAGGTACTTATAATGACTGTTTTGCTGCATGTATCTGTCACGGACCAAGAGCCTATTCTGGGTCAATAGGAGCTCTGTATGAAGATATCTGTGGTATTCTGCTATATTCTATCCTAAAATTTTCTGTTCTGTTCTGTTCTGTTCTGTTCTGTACTTGTCTAGACTATTCTGTATGAGACTATACTGGAAAGTTCGAGAACAATAGAGAGGAATATATAATGGGTAATTGGGATGACTTTAGTTTGGCAGATAATGGTCTTGTATTCTTAGGAACCTTTTGACAATATTGAATTTGTGTATATTTTGACCTTTTGACATCTTGATCTTTTGACATCTTGACCTTCTCACATCTCCGAATATTGATTCATTGAACTCTCGACTTATTGAACTCTCAACACCTTGACAGTATCTACTAACTGATGGTTTTCCTCCAGACATCATACTCGCTAACTAGCCATGTATCGTTGGGTGTTACTTAGTTGTAACAGCAATCTTGCGTCCTGATTAGTATTATTGTTTTGTCTAGTTCCATATTCCCCTCCCCATGCGACCTTATTGTAAACAATCTAAGTATTACGCTTAGGTATCCACCTAAGCTCATACAATGGTCAAACCGTAACAGTAGCCTATGGTATGTAGATACCTAGTGCTACCAACACTGATCAGTGATATCACAGATCAGGAGGCGGTACCATTTCGAAGAGAGAAGCTCAGAATAGACCTCCGTGAACCAACTCTCAAGGAGCCGTGTTATCAGTATTCCATAGGGTACAAGTTTGGTACAAGTAGGTTACAGGTGTGGAGTATGATGGTGATTCCTAAGAGTAGGAGGTATAAATTCAGCGTTAGGTATAGGGTTCACAGAAGAGGTAAAGGTAAAACAAGTAGTAGGTGAGATAAGTACGTGAACAATAGGTATGAATATAAACAGAAGACGTTGCATGAAGAAGAATACTCCTTCATGCTGGGTATATATGCACATCAGATAATAGGACAGTGTTACAGCGAGGGTCAGATGATGATAAGATCGCCGTCTGCTAAGATTGGAGATGGGTGGTCGAATGAGCTGGCGAGATACCAGGAGGTCAAAACTGAAGAACTAGAAGCTGGGACTGGAGGACGAGAGATCAAGACGAGTAGAAAGACGAGTGCGATTTTCGGACTATGGAGATATAAGATTGAGAAGCTGGAGAACTACTTCGTGGTAACTCCAGCTTCCTTAAGTACACTAGACTACGTAATGAATTTCAACTGAGGCTTTGGGATCATTAGGTTATGACTCCAGCCCGTCTAACTCTAGCTTTCCGAGTTTCCCGGAAACTTAGTTATTGAACCTTCCCCGAGATCCGTTTCCCGAGAACCTTCTCCTTAACCCTTGTCCTTGAACCTTTTCCTTAGAACCTTATCCTTGAACTTGCCTCAAGGATGCCTAGCCATAACAGACAGCCCTAAGCTCTTTCTCGAATAGTATTACTATGCAATCCCTATGAAACGACCCTATGTTCCTGAGCCTGTCCTAATTGTTTGAGAACTTGATCTAACCCCCAGTTGTGTTTTAGAATGGAACTCCCCATGAGACACCATCCTAGTTTCCGCCACGTTTATCCATGAAACCAACCCACCCAGCCCAGAACTGCTCAAAATAATCGAGTAAGATCTCGAAGAATTATCCCTGAACCCCTACATTCAGCTCAGGATTTGCGTCCATCACGCACAAGTCCAGAAAACACCAAAAATTTCAAAACCTCACCTCTAACCTACTTCTCACCTCACAAGCACTTTGAACACCCAAAAACCTTCAACCTCTTTAAATTGACATACTTCCCACCTCATCATCTCTATATTCAAACTCTCCGGATAAATTTACTTCTACCTCTTTACCTATCAATCTTTAATTACCTCTTCCCGACCGTGTTAAAACGGATCCATTTCCATTCAAAATAATAAAATTACCAGAATAATGGCTGATGCTCAAGAGGAAAATTGGGATACAAGAGACTTCAACATTCAAATTGCAACAAAAGCCGAACGAGACTCTTGGTTGAAATATTGTCTTGACAAATATATCAGAAGTCCTCTTACAAACTATGACATGTGGGATGTGTTTTGCATCCACCTTGATGGTTGGAATCTTGTTGTGCCTGGACCCACATAGCTATATTGCACAGCTCAAGTTATGATTGTTATGAATTTGTTATATTTAGTCTGGATGTGGTGATGCAGGGGTTATCTTCTTAATTTGGTTAGGTCTGAGGCTACGGGATTTGGATTTGTTCAGCCTGGAAATTTGGATTTGTTCTCTAGTTCTAACAATTTTGTTACTTTTACAATTATTGTATAATTTGCTTATTGGGAACTCGATATTTTGATAATATGATAATCTGAACACATGAATTCGTAACTTTGATAATCGGAGCCTCGATTACCTTCATTCATACCTTCGCACCTTCGACCTTCGACCTTCGACCTTCGACCTTCGACCTTTGACCTTCGTAACTTTGTAACCTCGAACCTTCGATAATTTGTCTTTGTCTAAATTGACTCGACGTCTGCAGCTTAACAGCTTCGAAAATCTGCCAATAAGTAGATTCATAACAATGATGGTCATGCAACTGCCTGCGTTTGCTCTGTTTGCTCCTGCTTTGTTGAGTTAGTATCATTAGTAAGCAATAGTCTAGGGACTATAAGTAGAGAGCTTTCCTCCACATTAGATAGAGCAAGTAATTCAGTCTTTCCTCATTCTACAGAGATCATTCTCCGCTCCACTTCTTGACCTGTCCGGCCCAGCAGCCTATCTGTGATCACTAGCAGCAAGCTCCCACAAATTGTATGTACACCCAAATTGTTACGGCGTGCTATAGGGTAGATCGAGATCGCCGTTTGCCGAGGGTATGAAAAGGTCAAGTGGTGAATACTATAGAGGTGGAAAGTCCACAAAGTACTATGGCTAGAAGGAAGCGGGTTTGCAAGAGGAATACTGTAATAATATTATAAGATTGTGAAGCTGGAGAACTACTTTGTTGTAGCTCCAGCTTCCTTAAGTACAATTAACTATCTAACATGATTCAACTAAGGCTGTTGTAATTTCCCATCATGACTCAAACTGTGACCTCAACCATATCAATTCCTGTTGGCGCATTATCTAGTCTCACCATATAAGTGCAAGTGTTGAGGGCGAGCCGAAAAGGCTGTTCCGTGAACTTTATCCTCAGGCATTCTGCTTAGACTCTGGTTCCAGAATGTCTCGCCATGACACAAATCATAGACCTATCACAACAAATCTTGAGCACTGTCAGGCTCGTTGGCTAGTTCGTAGGACAAGGGTCGGAACAGGACGGAGTCGGGACAGGATGTGATCGGAACAGGAAGAGGGCTAGACAAGACGGATGTGGTGCGGGATAGAGTCGGGATGGATGTGGTCGGGGTATAAGGTAAAGCTTATAATAATTGGATCAATCTAAAGTCTTGAATAATTACAAGACAAAAAGCTACAGAACAAATCCAGTCCTAGACCTTCCTTAAGCACTCAACAGCGGTTACTATAATCAGGTGTATGATAGTCTACAGCTGTAACACAGCAACTGATTGCTCATGTTGATTAGTAATTTTTGCTATCATAACATTGTAACCATTGCAACGCATTGACTGTGTTACTAAGGAAGTTCCTGACTTGGTTGACTTGACTAAACGCAGCATCTCAGCATTTGTTATGAATTTGTTGTAGATAATTTGAATGGGGTGGCGCACGGGCTATTTCGTGAATTTGGTTGGAGCCAGGCAAATGGAGCGTAGATTATGTTGGTTGGAAATTTAGAATTTGCTCCTTAGTTCTAACAATTTTTTTACATGATACATGACCTTGTACCCTTCAGTACTCAGAATTTAATAAAGCTACTTGTTCAACTATTCGTGATTAATCCGCTACCTTTGAACCGCCACCTCGCCAAAACTGACTCGACCTCTGTAGCTTAACAGCTTCGTAATTCAGCCCACAAGTAAGTTCATAACAGCATTAGCCAATGGCACAATGATAGTAACAAGCAGGTCGTTTTCCTCGTGGGAAAGCCGGTCTGTGACAAGCACTTTCAAGGTGTAAATACCGTGCAATTATCCTCTCTCTGTGCTGAACTCTGCCGCCACAGTGTTTGGGTTGATGTTTCTTGTAGCACTAATATGAACAAGGCTCTTGTTGTTTGCCTCGGTGAATCTGAACCCCATGAATGGACGAGGGAGGAAGCTATCGCAGTTCAGAACCACACTGGTTTGCTATAGCATACCCTGCTCCAAAAACTTCGTAACAATTGGAAACCATACTCTGGCAATAAGGAACAATCTAAACAACACGACTCAAGTTTGTCAACTCGTCCTGAACGTGATTCAACAACACAGATCTGCATGAATATAGCCAAACTTTATTCCTCAAATGATCAGAAGTATGGAGGCAATACCAACTGTTTCGAATATAAGTTAAATATCTTCAGCATGTATTGCTTGCAATTGAATATTTTAAACAACGAAATATGTGCAAAGGCATTTCCACAAATGCTTAAAGGCACAGCTTTCCAATTTTACATTACCATCACAACAAACCAAGTAATTGTCCCAACATTTGTTCAACTATGTGACATAGCTCGATCTTATTTTGAAACAGATGAGTGGAAGCGTGCTAGATTAACTGAATTAAATAGCACAACACTTAAAAAGGTCATTTCAAATAATCCGACCATGTCTCTCAAAGATTGCGTGGATCTTCTTGTCAACAAACTTCAGCAACTGCAACTCGGCCTAGCTGCTCCATTCAGAACGAACTCACTCCTTCATTAGACGCTAATTCTTGCATGCGCTCCTGTCGAGGCATGCCAGTTTGCATACATAAAACCTTCTCCCACGTTGCCTGGTCTCATCAGTGAACTAAAGGGTGCAGCTGATATCTGGCAAGCAGCAAAGTAAAAACCCACACCTTGTTGTGCTGGCTCGGTTGAGTTGTTAGGAGACAGGGGAACAGAGGATGGGCTGCTGGATTAGGAAAGGGTGGAAAATACAGGCTGGTGCACAGACGCTGTTCATGTACTCTACAATCTCTTGAGCTGCCGAGTTTAGTGAATTAATCTATCCATATAATATCATACTTCACATCATCCATTAGATGATATTATCAATTGTCGGGATGCCCATCTAGCATCACCTTCACAGATCACCATTGTCAGTAAGAGTTCACATTTGATACCTACTGAGACCCATTTGGCCACAGTGATACGCACTCAGTGTCTATTGTGCCATCACCTAGCGTGAGCGCGTGTTGTAATCCTAGTCCGTGCTAACATAACGTAGAGACGTGCATGGTCTAGGTCATGGATTAATATAGTTGCTGTGCCTACACAATTGAGGTAAGCTACGTAGTGGTTGTAGAGATCTGTTGAGGATCAGGATGTTGAGAAGTGATAGCAGTGCACGGACCAGCTTCTCATGTATTTAGACAGGTGGTCAGGCACTGCCCCCAAAAGTGTCCAACACAGATCACACACTTTATCCATTATACTTTGGCAAATAATAATCCCTTCTAAAGTCTACAACTCAGTTCTCTAGCATTATATCACAACTGTCTCTAAGTCTATCCCAGGAATATCTCCAGTGCTCATCATTCATAACAGGTTATGACTCCGGCGTTTTCCTCTGCACACGAGTTAAACATGTCCAAAAACACTTCACTCGTTATCCTCGGCAAAACAGATTCTTTCAGCCGATGGGACGCATCACTTCGGGCACAATTGGCCAAACGCGACCTCACCGGCCACGTCATCCACGATGATCCCGACGTCGATCCCATCTTTCGACCAAGCAAACCAAAACGTGAAGACCAAATAACAAATGATGCCTGGGAGGAGATATGGAGGACTCACCGAAGAGCAGTCTTGAAATGGAAGAACCATGAGACAGAGGCGAGGAATATAATCCTCGAACGTCTCAGCGAGAAAGTCTGGCCCAGGGACCACATAAGACTTTCCGCCAAAGCTCTATACGACAGCGTCTCTTTGCCTAGAAGAGAAACGTCCTCGGCCACCTACATTGATGGGCTCTAACAATTCCAAGCAGTCAAGTTCACCGACTCAATAGAGCGGTACTGCAACGAATTCCAGACTGCTTATCAGAATATAATCACCGCAGCTGAAGCCCTTAGTATGTCCGATGACAAACCAACCGAATGGGCCATTTCTGAGGCCGCAGCTGCGGGATTCTTTTTAGTCGGGACTATTCACGTCCCCTGGTTAAGCTCCTGGAGAGACAACAAAGCCATCAATGCTTCAGACAGACCGACATCCCTAAGGTCAATGATGTCATCACTTTGCACTGTCGCTGCAAACAATCATAGGCAAATCAACACCTATGAACCCATCCACAGCGCTTCCGCAGCCAAACCAAAATCATCACCAAATCCCGACGCCAGGTGCAAGAGATGTAAGCATATACATACTAACAAAAAATGCTTCAAGCAACATCCAGAACTTGCAACTGGTCAGAAAGGGCAGAAATGGAAGGAGAATATCCAAAAATATGGTGAAAGATCGGGAAAAGGGAAGGCAATCGCTGAGGCCAGCGACAGTGAAGATGAGGAGTATTATAGGAGTCAAATGGAAGCGCTGCTCAGCGAGCCCCGCGACGAAAAAATATCAAGCGGAATAGCTGCATCAGCATCCAGATACAATAAACTACCTATAATCTATGACACGGGTGCTTCGCACCACTTTTTACCTGATAGATCCGTGTTTGCTGAAATATACAATCGACAAAATCCCTTTCGATTTGACCAAGCCGTAGGCAGATCATCGCTAACTAAACAAGGAAGCGCAACTATAAAGATCAGACAACAACAATTGATTTTAAATGACTGCCTATACTCACCCAGATCGGCCTCTGGTATTGTCTCCGCAGGTAGACTACAAAGAATAGCAGGGGTGTTCCCTGACTTTGCCAAAATGCTCCTAGTAAAACATAATCATGAACAGAGTGACGTGCCCATTGCCCGACTAATTCTCCACAACGACGTCTACTACATTCATCCCCTGTTACATGACAAGCGCATCAAAGATAAATCCATTGCAGCACCTGGGGTAGCGAGGATTCAGAAGACCAGCAATGCGCAACGCTGGCATCAAAGACTAGGACACATTGCACAAAACATTCTCAAGAAGACAAAAGATCACTCTTTAGGACTTGAAGGCATTGACACAAGTGATCTTAAAATATGCGAAACATGCCATCTAAGCAAGGCTCAACAACATGTGTTGCGGGACCCAAGGCCAACACTGTATGAGCCATTGGACGAAGTATTTGTGGACACCGTAGGTAAACTAGTCCCATCTGTTGATGAAAAGCAGTACGCCGTAATAATCACTGACGCGAAAACTCGCATGCATTGGGTACTCACCAGCCAAACAAAAGACCAAATTGCCTCATCATTAGTGCAATGGGTTAAAATCATGCACCATATTTATGACAAACGAGTGCAAACTATCTTTAGAGACGGAGGATCCGAATTCTCTAAGACAAAAGTCTTTTGTGAACAACATGGAATACGTACCCATACGTCAGCTCCCTACACACCAGAACAGAATGGAGCATCAGAAGCTGCCAACAAAGTAGTTCTCAGAGTAACAAGGTCCATCCTTATAGATGCAAATATGCCTCCATGTTACTGGTCCTACGCGATGCAACATGCATGCTTCATTCTCAATAGGTTATACTGCTTACAAACAAAAAAGATCCCCATCATCGACTTCTTACAAAGCCTACGACAACCGCACATGGATAAAATTGATCTCATGAATCTACCACAATTCGGCTGTCGAGCATACAAATTAATCAGTCCTAAACCAAGCAAATTTGAACCAAGGGCAGAAAAAGGGTGGTTCCTAGGCTTCGAAGTAAACACTTCCAAGAACTTCCTCATACTCCATCCACACAAAACTCCAACCAAAGGATGGAAGTAGATTGTCAGTTTGACTCCACACACAACATTTAATGAAGATGTTCTATTGGGAGATGAACTAGACCAAATAAATAAGGAAAGAGCCACAAACTACTGGAACAACGATCAACCAATCACACCCACATTAGGCACAGACCAAAGTCCTTCATTGCTGCACAGCAAACTGCCCAACCAAGATGCGTCAACATCAGATCCTAACAATCTGCCATTAAACGCATCACCGCCAGATCTGAGTCAATACCCAGGAAACATACCTCAATCTGAGCTAAATAACGACCCAATACCTGCAAATAAACCTCCGCCACCTAACAATACATTTATGACGCTACCTTCTCTTGAAAAGAATGACAAAACTTACGTTGATCAGCCTCCAACAACCCCTCCGGTGGCTCAATCAACCTGGCAGCATATGAGTCCCAATCCCTTGGCATTAATCAATCCGCAACCGGACCCATCAGAGTCAGATATAAACTCAAACCCTGACATAAGCGATCCAATTGAGCTCAACTCTCCTGAAAGTGATTCGGAACAATATTGTCAAATTGGAGCGTAGGCCTTTTGACTGAGATCAAAGAATTCAATGGCGGATACCATAATTGGACGCGTATCCTGGAGGGGAGATTTACTAATGGGTTTTAGTGGGGGTTCTTTTCGGACTTGGGTTATTTCTCTCGAGATACTTGTGGTTGTATTGACGTATGGGATTGTTGTCTCAAATTGGCAACAGGCTTTATCTAGACAATTTTCTCCAAAGGTTATAGTGTTTTCAGACCAATTGATATAAGGGTTATGCTTTTCTAACCAAGGAAGTCCCAAAACTAAGTCATATTTAATATTTGGGGTAACAAAAGCGAACATTTCTTCCTGGTGTCTACCAATTGCGAGGTTAAAACTAGTTTTTTTTGTAATTTGGGCTCCAGGTTTACCCTCAAAGCCTACCAGGGCGAGGGGAGACTCGAGATGGCTAGGGATAAGGTTTAATCTACTGCATAACCTCTCGGATATGAAAGCAAAGCCAGATGCACCTGAATTAACAAGAGTAGTTAAAGTTTCATCTCCTATATTTGACTTTATATACATATGCCGGGAGGATGACAATTCCTTCAGGCTCACTTTTCCAACCGAGACTGACTGCAGTGGGTGATTATTTGTTGAAGCTGATTTCGTGATGTCCGCATTGTTTCGAGGAATTTCTGTAGGAGTCAAGGACGTAAAATTTCGAGTACCTAAAGGGCAATCTTTTGCAATGTGCCCTGACCTGTTGCACCAGATACACCGACCTAGAGTTCGGCGTGCGTCTTTAGCCTGAAGAGTGAGGCGTCCGTCGACGTCTTTTTGTCTTGACACGAGGTCGAGATCCATTGCAGAGCTTCCTTGTAACACAGGAATCTCGTGACGTGAAGGGTTGAGCTGGGGTCGAGATCTCATATAAGCTGGAACTGTTATGTAGTTTTTTGGCGGTACTGGTGGTAATGATCTTGCATGTGATGAGGCTAAAATTTCTTGCAATCCGGCATCCTTTTGTCGAAGATAGGCTACAAAAGCGTGGTATTCTCCTGGTACGTCTGAAGATGATAGGATCAGACTCCTTAATTGGACTGATAGGCGTCTTTCCAGCATTAACTTCCAGATTGTTTTGTCCACTGATGAGTAAATTGAATCAACCATGTTATCTTCGAAATCTGTGATAAAGTCATGGAATTTACTATTCCCTTGGTATAATTTCTCTACCCTTGTGGTGGCTTGGTCCTGCAAAGATGGGTCTTCGCATCTCTGCTTCAAGGCCAAAAGGAAGCCTTCTAGTGTTGTTATTTCAGGCGGAATTGATGTGTCTTCG